CTGTACAATATACTTTTGGGGGGGGTGGGGTGGGGAAGAAGGTGAAGTTAGAGCATCATGCAGAAGTGTTGAAATGAAAAATCCATTAATAGCCTGAACAGAATTTTCATTCTTAGGGTTAAAGCTGACCATAGAAAGCACTTTTGTTTATTATTGAAGAAGGAATCTTTTACATTACTAGTTTGTGCATTCCTTGATTAGACTTTTCAGTGTATTTTTAAAGATGACTCCGTCACGTTTCAATGTACTCTTTCAACAGACCCTTACCTCCAGGAGGGGAATATTTACTTGGGCAATTTGTGAGAATTTTCAAGAATTTGCCTAAATCGTAATCTTTCCTACAAGTCTTGCAAGATACAAAAAAATCCCTAAAACAAAAAGAAAAAACCCAAAAAAAACCCCACCAAAAAAACCTCATGAGTAGCATTTTGTGACATAGGTAACTGGATATTGATCTTATTTTATTAAATAGAGGAAGGTGATGTCCTGAAAGACAAAACCAGCATAAGAGGAAAAAAATCCTGTCCCAAATCGCTTAGACAGCAAATTATTGAAAAAAAAAAAGTAATTATACATTATGAATCTCAGTCAGAGAAAAAAATACTTCTAGTACTCTTTTGACTGAAGTTGTCCCTAGTCCAGCAGGAGTAAAACGCGCTTTGCAAAGCTAGATCAGCAACAAGACATTCTGTTAGGTGTACTGAGTTTTACTAGTGGAATTATATGATCACATTTGAATTGATCTCTCTTGCTTGAATGCCTGAGGATTTTATTATGTTTCCCAGAACACAGATGTGTATATGATGTAGTTGCTCAGTGGGGAAAATCCGAGTTAACTGATTAAAGCATACTTGCAGGTATGGGAATTAAAACTACTTGTGTTGGTGTCAGCTTTTTATTTGAGGGGTGAACACAATGGAATCAAACTTCCAGTGTGTGATCTATAGTCAGCAGGATTCTAATCTCTTCAGCAAGACCTTGGTCAGTTTTTAGTTTGTTGTCTCAACCATTCTGCCTTGGCTACGTGACACATTCATGGAAACTTTGCTGGCTCTGGCCATGGAAAGTAAGAGGATGGCGTTAATGTCACCATAAGCCACAGATCCTGTGTTGAGGCCACTCCAGCCACTGACTGCTCTCTGTGCTCAAAAGTCACCATACTGCAGGAAATTGGTTGGAGAGTGTAGCCCCACCGTGTTGAGATCTCATGATTTCTAGTATGTCAAGATGAAGACCCTTTTAGGCAACGCTTTGTATCACAGAAGGCAGAGCATCTTGATTTTTCCTTCACTTTAAAGAGCAATTAAGTAGCATATGTAGTGTATGCAGTCTTCCTGAGACACTGCTGATTTTTGTAGACAAAATGCACAAAAAATCTTGCCATTTTGTGTCTGTAATAATGTATTCTCTAAAGTGTGGGAGGACACACTGCTGAGAAGGTCAGTCGTGATTCATTATACAGACATGGAAACATCTTTTCATCACATTTTTGGCTTGCATCTTTTCAGATACTCTTAGTTGCCTCTTCTCAAGTAAGCAGCTAAATTAGTAGCTGAGCTGTAAATAATGGTAAAACCCCTCTGAAAACAGTTTCTCTGCAAAGTGAAGGCATATTTTAAAATTTCAGTGATTTTTCCAATGTTTCTTCTTTGGTGCTAAAAGGGAACAAGAAATTCACATCTTCATTCATGTACATACTTTGGTAAAAAACCTAATCCTTCAGCGATAAATATTAAATGCTTTCTTCAAGTTTCCCAGCAACTTTAAGCCCTTTTTGTATTACACCCAAAGCACCTTCTTCAAGCATAGAAAGTCAAGAGCAAATATTCCATATCTATAACAGTGATTTAACAGGGAGATTTTCTGGCAAATGCTTGAAGATCCATGGCACTGCACAGCCCAGTTACAAAATCTCTCCAAGCTGAAAACACAGCAACCTCTAAAAGAACCACAGAAGGCTCGGTTGCCCACTTACGTTCACCTACAACCAAGCAGTGAGTGAGAAGAGAAGAAGAATCCAGATCATTAGCAATCCTCAGAAACCTCTGTTCTCCTGCCTTGGTACCCCTAATGGCTTAGATACTGCATATGGAAAATGATTGCAAAATCTATACTGTGGATCGAAGCTCCTTAAGAGCTTCATGCCCATCCTTGTACGGAAGCGTAATTGTCAGTGCTCCGAGCTCCTGTCCTGAGAGTCTAAATTAAGAACAAGCCTCTGGGCTGCTGCTGGGCCTGCAGTAACTTCTCATGCTTTGTCCTCCCGCTGTAACCACCTGACCTGAGCTGCTCCCACAACACAAATCCACTGTACCATGCTGTCAAAAAAAATTACTAAATATCGGGCGGCACCACAGAGGAGACAGAAGCCAGGATCTTAGCAAAAGTAAAAGGTTGCTCTCTCATGCTTGCTGAGGAATTAAGGCAACCTAAATGCTTTGGTGGGAAGGAAACATTTGCCCTTCGCCAAATGCTGCCCTGAGACTTGATCCAGAAAGTAATCAGGTCTCCCATGAGGAGATGAAGTGAGATGTGAGGAGGTTCTGCCCACGGATTTAAGAACACTCAATACACTGCAGCACATGCAGGCCTTGGAGAAAGGACTCTGAGGGCAGAATTTTCTATTTACATTATTTGTGGAGGAGGCTATGTACAGGTACAAACCAGGAAGAAAATCTGTGTAGGGAGTGAGTACTTGCTGCCCCATTTCTCCTGTGATACGTGCTGAAGCACGTGGGCAATGCTCAGTGCTTAATGAATGTGGAGCTGCAGGACAAGGTCACCCACAGCCTCCACCTGCATCAGTAATGGCACTGGGAGCCACCCTGGGCTCTGGGCATGCTTCTTTTGGGCTTTCCCTATGTCACCTGCTGCCACTGCCCAGACCATGATGGCAGATGTGGGCACAGCCCTGGCAGCTCCACTGTCACCAGGAGTCCACTCCCAGGCACCACTGTGGTTCCATACCTGCTTCTGTTCACTGCTCTGTGAGGGAGCTGCTGTGCTGGGCGTGCTTTGATCCCGTGGGTAAACTGACTTTGTAAAAGCACTGTGCCTGGATGCCTTTGGGAGCGGTGGGCGAGAAGATGGGACACGGCACTGAGACTGCTGTTGGAATAATAAAAGAATAACTGCTGATTAAATCTGGGCTGATAATCCCTAGGGAGCTAGTACTGCCTTCAGTAACTGGCATGATTTCTTTTTTGCTTTTCACCTGTGAATATCTCCCTCGCCTCCCACATACTACTTGCACCATCAATTCCTTACAACCTGCTCTGCTGCTTTCTTATAGGGGTGCATGCTGGAGCTGAATACATTAGTGCTTAATGAGATACACATTTAAAGCTTACCAGTTAGGTTATATCCCAACGTTCTTCTAAGAGAATACACTTCAAATATTTGCAAATCAAAAGTAAGTTAATTTAAAATGCCAGTAAGTTGATTCTGCTTGCTTGAGCTAATATCTCTACAGCTCATCAGAATTAAACAAAATGTGGATGTGGAGATTTCAGTAGAGAGACAGACAGAATAATAAGGAAATCTCATTTCCATTTTTAAGGGTCCTAATTATCCTGATGGTTTAGAGGGAATCAGTTTTCCAATAAAAAATACAAATGAGGAAATTTCTTTAATCAGAGCGCAATATGCAAGGCCTTCTCAGAATAGTCCAGACTAACACAGACTTGAGTGTTACATGCCTATAAATAATAAAACAATGGTTTTTGAAGAGTCTAAGGCTGCCATACTCGGTAGGGCTGTGATTTCCCCATTACTCACCTATTAGCTTTTGAACTCAGTGCCTCTTCCAAAAGTTGGCGGATCGACAGAGGTCTCAAAACCCTATTTTACTTTGACATATTTCTTGAAAATTGATGGGGCAATAATGAAAAAATCAGCAGTACTGGGGAAGAGGTTTGTAGTGTGGGCATGAAATATAAAACTGTAGGGAAAAAACTACATTAGTCCTACTTCTCATAATATATGTTTATTTTCATTTACAGTAAACATTGCAAGCTGATACCAAAATCTGTCAGAAGTCCATGCTTTGTTGATCTGTTAATGGTGACTTGCAATTTATTGTATGCTTTGCCATTATTTTGAGGAGACTTTGTTGTTTCATTTTATGTATAAGTGACCTTACTTACTTGTTTGTGCAATTTGGAGGAACAATTCAAGCACTGTTCTTTGGTCCATTGCATGAGTTTTGTGCCATGATTTTACTGAAGACTCTGTAACACGTTACAAAGACAAGTTGAATATATTTGAAACTGGCATGCCAGATAAAGTGTGAGGAGAATAGAGGGCTTTTTGAGCTTGGAGCTCATTGCCTGCTGTTTTTGTAATGGAACAATTTGGAAACATTCTTAAAGTGGCCTCCATGCTGGAAATAGACTTTGGATAGAGTAGAGGCTGATGATAAATTGTGAGAAATTATGGAAATTATTTGATCTATGGGGGGTGGGGCTGAGGACAAAGAAAAACTGGTAGCTGCACATCTTCTAGGGCACTTTATAACCTCCCAACCAGGTGCTAAAACCCTTTTCTCTTATGTGCAGCTGAGAACAGTGTCTTTCTTGTAAATGAATTCTCCTTCAATGGCGACTGGTAGATGAGAGTCTGAATTAAGAACACAGGAGGAAAACAAAGGCACAAAGCCTGTTTAATTAGGATAAAAGATACTCACCCCTGCCAAATCCTCCAATCCCAGTTTAGCAGAGCATAGGGGTTGTTAGGGCTGAAAGGTCTGACTTGCTGACTTAGGTAAACGCAGTGCTCAGCAGATGAAGTCTTGCATAATTAATTGTTCTTTGTTGCATTCTTTCCAATGTAATCACTTGTAGCATTCACGCTTATAGTAATTGATGTTTGCTGTGTGCTGGGGCTTCAGGACAGCCAATTAAGGTGGTGAAGGTGGGAACTGCACAGCATCTCTGACATCTGGTTGTTGCCAACATGTGGGCTATAACTTTTTTTTTTTTCTTTTCTTTGCTTGTTTCTAGTGTCTAAAACAGTACCTGGAGCTGGCAATTCAAGAAGGTTGTGGTTCCCCTATCACATGTCCAGACATGGTATGCTTGAACCATGGGACCCTACAAGAATCAGAGGTATCTATACTTCTCCCTTTCTTTCTCTCTCTCTCTCTCTCTCTTTTTTTTTTTTTTTTAACATATATCCCCCAAATTTCTTTATCTGCATAATAATAAATGTAATAATACAATTTTTCCTCCCTTCAATTACTTTTAATGTGCTTTTGGCAAGAGGCCTGACTGACAAGAGGCCATAGAAACAAACAGATGTTTTTTCAAGGGTTTTGCTCCTTTTTCCCCTTCCTCTATGCCTTGGGGGAGAATTTCACTTGGCATCTGGACAGCCTCTGAATTACCCATGCAGGTGACTTAACCAGAATACCCAGAATTGCTGAGCCTCCATTAGACTGTCAGTTCAGTCAGATTTGATTCAACTGCAAACACTGAAATTCTTGCATCTTTCTTGAGAGCAAGAACTCAGATTGATGGTGTGTGAGGCCAGAATTTCCTTGTGTATGTTGATCTTGGGCTGCAACAACCAATTTGCAGTCCAATCTAATCATGCAGGGCTGTATAATTATATGGAAAGAAAGGTGCCTGCACAACACCAGGTAGAGGTAGGTCTTAAGAGGTGTGGAAGGTGTCTCTTGGGATACACCCAAGGGATGCTTGCTTGCCTGCTTTGTGAGGCAGGAATGTCCCTGCTGAGCCTGAGAATACAAGTAGGACAAAAAAAAAAAAAAAAAAAAACAAACAACCCAGCCCAAAAAACCAGGAAAAATAAGATGGCTAAGGGATTTTGATTAGTTTTGTGCATTCTCTCAGCATTGGAGAAATAAAATCAAGGAAAATTAGATCTCCATCCTTGAACTGAAGAAGAGAAGTTTGTCTTCAGAATTCTCTTGAGCCCTGTGCACACAGATGCCGTAACTGTGGCAGAAGGATGTAATCCTATTCAAATGCCATCAGTGACAGTGTGATTCCCGATACCAAACATTACTTTTTCTCCAGAAAAAAATTCTGGATCTGCTCTCCAGCATACATTTGAAATGTTGTGCTTAGTTGAATCAGGTCATGGGACTTTCATCTATTTTTGTTATGGCATGCAGGCATATGGTGGACCCCTTTTTTTGGCTGAATCCAGCTATTGTGAAAAGCAGCCAGCTGTTTCCCTTTCTCCTCTTTCTGCAAAGATACAGAGAGGGTGTAGCAATGTCCTTCCACCCATTGCACCAGACTGGAGGCATCTAGCCTTTATTGAAAATGTATTTTTAAAGGAAAATTACCAAATGAGAGGAAGAGTTCTGCTTTGTTCAACCAGGGTTATAATGCTGTAGGAATTAAGAAAGATGTATTTCCCTTTAGTAAAAGAGACTCCAGGGGCATTTAATAATGGACCACTGGCCTAATCCTTGGGTGTTTTTTGGGCTGACAGCAGAATGACTAAACAGCCCAAAAGTGCCTTAGTGTCCTGTGGATGACTGAATGTTCTGACACTCCCTTTTGGCAATGTGCTTGAAACACAAGCCTTCTGCTTGAATAGAAAACAAATCCCCAGCCTGGTTAAAATTACTGCTTATGTATTTTACCAAATATCTATTTCTTTAAGGAAAAAAAACCACCCAGAAAAACAGTAATGACATAAAGAATAGACTGACTCCATTCACAGTCTAAAAGAACAGTATGTAAACTACAGATTTATGTATGAACACTCTGTATTCCTTTTTCCCCCCCTCTATAAATAAAGGCTGTTCTTTGTGAAAATGTGGCCTGTTAAAGATATTTCTTGAAAAAGCAGAACCTTATCAGATGATACAGAATGTGCTTAACTAGGGCTATTGTGTGGCATGGAAGTACTATTTAGAGTTACAGTTTATTCCTTACACTCTCAAACTCCTGGTGTAAGAGTAGGAGGCTTCTCACCTCTGGGGGGGGTCTGGATTCTTTTGTCTCTGGCTTCTGCCAGGAAAAGGTTCCTCACCAGGACCATGGTGTGAGGAATGACACGTTGCCTGTACTGTGGGGAAAAACAAAAATAAAAGGTCCTTTTTTTCCTCCTCTAAGATAGCATCAATGATTTGAAAAGGTGTATTTTTCATGTCATGTTTATTTCAGACTACTCTGTGACTGCTGTTCATCAGGTACTGTTACAATTTGGAGAAAAAATAACAGTTCAAATCGTCTTTGTCATGGACACGTTGCTAAACTGGGTCCTATACTTTGGGCTAAATGCATCTCGTTATATTAGCTAAAGCAGTTGTTTTGTTTGCTTTTTTAAATGCCTTTTGCCATAGCCTGCTAAAGGGAGATAAAGGTGAATTCGGCATAATTTGAAGTGGAGGAAAACCTCTTCATTGGCTTCAGTGCATATTGGATTGAGCTTTCTTCGATAAGGAAACTGAACAATAATAACAAAGCTTATAAGCATATATAACACAGTATACCTGTGAACACAGTATAGCTATGAAAGTTCCTCTTCTTCTCCCTCTCAAGGTCCTTATTCAAGCTGTGTAACATTCCTTCAGTGCTTTCCAATGACCTGTTTGTCTTCATTTAGACAAATCAGAATTAAGCCCTGTTTATTTTCTCAGTAAAATTCTGGTCTGTCTAGTTTGGTCCTAAATTACTAGAGCTTTTTCAAAGCTCTTGCCTTGCTTCTGATTTGTGTTCCTTTTCAGTTGCTTTTGGGGGTTGGAGGGAGGGAAAAACTCTGGTTAACAATTTAAACACAGAATGGATTTTTTTCTTGTATGTCTCATGAAGAAATGAGCAAGTGTGAATAATAGGAATGTGTTTCTCTAAAACAGTTGAATATTTAATCAGTGCTTGGGGAATAAACTGCTTATTCATAGAGTATAGGAGATGTTGGGAATTAAGGCTTTACTTTCTGAGGTCCCTCTGGACCTCAGAAAAAAATGTTCCAGGTTTTTTGTTCTTAAAATGCATAAAGCGAAAAGTCATTTGAACTAGAAAATTGTACTTTTCAGTGCTTTGAAAATATGTTTTCTGAAACCGCTCTGGCTTGGGTTTCTTTTTCCTTCAACAAAATCTAGTTGAAACTGGTTTATTTCCCAGTAGTTTTTCTTTGTTTTGACAAATAGTGCATTTAAGTAGAAGGAACTGTTCCACGGAAGTGCTTGAAATCAAGTGCAATCCTAGGTCACATCTTGACCTGTTACATCTAGATAGCCGCTGCTTGTAGTGTAGCTGTCTTGTAGCAGAAATAAATGAGGGGTGGTCGTGGCAAGGCAATGGTTTTGGCTACAGACTCTCTTTCAAATAGCTGGTTACACAAAACAGGGGAAGTTCAAAAGTAGTCTTGCTAAACAAAATGTTTGCCCTTTCAAGCTCCAGTGGCACAATAAACAAAGATTACTTGGATTCCTTCCTGGAAGCAGAAGGTAGAAGGAACATCTTATGTTAATACAATTCCCTTTAAACACGCAGACTTCTTCTGTCTAGAATATTCCTGTCTCTCTTGGGAACTTGCTCCATTGATTTAATTGGACCAGTTAATATCCCTAATCTAAATAAGGGGTAATTTATCATGGTTTGAAATGATTTTGCTTGGTGTGAATCCAGTCACCAGTATAAACTATGAATCAGGGTAAATCTCCACTGCATACAGGGATTTCTACTGTAATACTTACTTGGATAATATCTAGGCAATTGTGCTTTGCTGTTTCTGATTCCTGTATTGTTCTATGGTTTATAACATCTATGCAGTGATCCATGTATACATAATCTGATTTGGATTAAAACTGTGCAGCAGTCAGTAAAGGAGGCACTGATTTGGGTTCTTAAGTTTGTCCAGAATTACCCCTTTGCACGCAGCACAGATCCTGCTCCTTGTCCCTCTGTCTGTCTAAATCTGTGATCCACACCAGTGCTAACCTGACAGAGGTTTGTCAGCACTTTGTAATGCAATGCTGAAATAGGACAGCAACCCAGATCTTAGAATTCTTAATTGCATTATATACCTAGCCAAATACAAAATCCCACTGGGACTCAGTCTAAAATATCAGTTTTATTTTTAATTTCAAAATTGGTTTACGTTTTGCTGCAGAAGAGACTGAAATGGTAAAATGAGAAGGAATGTGAGAAAATGTTGCAGGCTGACCTATCTTTTTCAGGGTCAAAAAAAAATTTTTGTTCTTCTTATTTACTTGTTTTTAAATAAAACCTAGGGGAGCAAGTGAGAGAACCTTAATTTTGTTTTTATTTGTCTCTAAATAAGAGAGGAGCTCTTTAATGGAGAACATGAATAATTTAGTATTTCATTATGACTCTAGTGAGCATGGTAGCTTGACAAAGAAAGTTGTGGGTGTAATTTCTAACAACATAGAGACTGAGCTCCCATACCCCTTTCAAAAGCAAACCAGAGGCCCTGTTAGAACCATTTTACTCCTTGCAAAAGAAGACAGCACCTCTGTGAGTGGGGCTTTGGCAGAGGTGGGCAATGCCACCCTCTGTAAATTCTTCTGCCAGTGAAGGATCTGCCCTTGCTGTCTGTCTGCTGAAGTGAGAAAGGGAGAAGCTTTTGTCCTGCTGAACTTCCCTCCCTTGGCATTATCAAAGTTTGATTCATACGGGTGTGAAAGGAAGTAAGATCTATTCAATTTGCTTGATTGCCTCCTTGCATGTCCCTTGAAAGTCTGAGAATAGGTGGAATAGTGATTTTCCCTTTCCACTGTGGTAGCCAGTATTTAAAAACAGGGGAGTTGTTCTTCCTTGGGTCCTGGTTACTGCACTGCCTGGAAAAGTTTGCTGCTGTGTACACTGAACCAAATTATTTTGAACCCTTTCAATTTCCTTTCTTTGCTCTTTTGTCTCATGTATTAGCAGGGACCCTGGTTATTGTGACACATTTCATGATATGATCTTTTTGGATGCTTGACAAGGATCCAGCTGGAGCCCTTTGTGGTAGTAAGCCTTCAGAATTTTGCTTTTGTAAATCAATATTTATACTTCAGGTGAATGCTGCTGTTCTTAGCAATAGCTCTTTTGTGTTCTTGTGCTGTGTAGCAAGAGGGTTTTAACTGCAGATATTGTTTGCAGGGTATGGAAAATCAGAAAACTTATTTCAACTCCTAACAGCCTGATAAGTCTCAGATCAAGATATTTTCAGGAGAGGAGCGTTCTTGCCTGTATTTTTTTTTTAATTAAAACCCCCAGTATTAAAACAAAAGGTCAAGTTCACCAAACTGTTGTCTAGCATTTCTTCCTACACTGAATAATTCCATGACATAGAATAAGAAAAGCCTGCTTTCTGGTATGCTCATGGTCTTCCTCTTCTGGCTCTTTGCTGTCTGCTGGATTGCTGGTTTGCTGCCTCCCCAGATTTCCATGCCCTGACCAGCCCAGAGACGTGAGTGATTGTGGAGGAGAAGAGGTGTTTGGGATGGACAGACACCCAGATGGGGCTTTAGAAGTTTTCTGGAAATGAACATTTAGACCAATGCCAAGTAGGAGGCGATAAACACCTAATCCCCTTATTGTATTTACTGCTGTCCTTCTCGATTAGGTATAAATGAGATTAAAAGTTCCCTGAGGAAAGGATTTGCTGGTTTTTTATAGGGACCTGATATTCATTTTGTTTGTTTTTTTCCCCTCAATTAAGTTTGCACACACAGCTTTCACATGGCACTGAATTCAGGCAGCAGGAATTTGTGCATTGTTTTCCTCAGGCCTGAAGAGACTAAATCTGTGAGAGGTTTTGGCTCAGCACCTCTCAGGCTCACCTGTGTGTGGGTGCCATCAGGACCTGGTCTTTCCAAGCCTGTGGGAGTCAGTGGCACAGATGATGGGCTGCATGCAGGGAGGGGGAAGCTGAGCTGTGAAGAGGGTATGTAGGAAAAAGAGTGGAGCTGAGTGGAGCCAGTGGGGAAAGCTGGCATGGTATGCTCAAGTTTTCCCCAGGAGAATGGGAAGCGGTCAGCACTGCCTCTGCTTCCTATTGAAATCTCTGTTAAGATGCATAACTCTGCTCCCACTGTAATCAAAAAGGCTGATTTTTAATACATGGGAAATTCTGGGCTCAATAGAACTGCTCTTGAAAGAACTGTTTGTTAGAAGTAAAAGCAAGTACAGAAGGACCCCAGCCAACTAAACAATCCGCTCAAGTGGCTCTTACAGCATTGAGACTCACTGTTTTAATTTAGTTGTAATGAAGGAAAATTTAAAGTTGTTGCCAGTGCTCACCCAGCTAGAGAAATGCAGATGACTCTTTTCATTTTCCAAACTATTTATATGTGAAGCTGTCCTGGGGAGGAGTGGGCAAAACTGAAATGTCATTGCTGAAATTGCTAAATTCTTTTGACCCATTTGATTTTTTTGGTGTGTGTTTTCCAAGAGTATTTCAGCTGACTTCTGATGAACAGGTGAAGAGTTTCCCAGAAAAACCTCTGTGTCTTACAGTCATATTAATCTTAAATATTAATTAATTACACCCATATGAATCTTTAAATTATTAAATCTTGACATAATTTGGATTCATTTTTGTATTACTCTGGCTTCAGTTAAATAAATGAGCCAAGTATCTGCTACAAGATACAGTTGTGTACCATCAAGTCCAATTGATTTGAGATATAAATAAAGCAATTTTGTATTTTATAATACTTTTTTTTTCCATCTGTGAAAGAAAACTTATTCACAGCATGATATTGAATATATATTGGTTTTTTGTCATTATATTTCTTCTCATGGGTGCTAAACCCAACAATTGAGAAGGACATCAAGGGCCAGTGTCCACTTCACTGAGGGCAAATTTTGCCCTTTACAATAATCTGGACTGTAGTTGGGTACTGGATGTGAGATTTGGAAACCTGTCACTTTGAAGCTGTCAGTTGTACACTGTCTCACAGTGCTTCAAATGATCAGGTCCCAGGTCTTATATTCGTCTAGGTTTATTTTCAGTAAAAGAGAAAAATATTTCCAGTGCTGGTACAATATTACAAATGGATCAGATAAAGAGAATAGTCCCGCATTCTGAATCTGACTAACACGTGACTCCTGAAGTGTCTGTGAAGTTCCCTTTAAACCCCTCCATACCCTGTATTCAGGTTTGCTTATTAGTTTTAAATAGGGCACTTGGTCTTCTTACGTAGACTGTTAATTGGAGATTAGAGCATTTAGCCTTTTAGGCTGCTGGTTTAATTACGGTAATGTGTAAAATGTATCAGCAAAGCCTGTTTGTCTGTGCCAACTAAACTTGTTAACTTCAGTCCGGTTCCCAATAGGCTGCTCCGTGTCTAAGGCAAATTCCAATAGCAATGGCATTAGCTGTCTTGGCCCAAACCCCATGAAATGAATAAAAAATGGAAACCAGACTGGCTTTCCGTTCCCGAGAGCTAAGTGCCTCTGCCATTAACTCTGGGAGACGTGAATGAAGAACCATTCATTTGAGCTGTATTCTTGTGCATGAACAGCATGCTGCAGTCTCCAGGGCTGGCAACATGTCACCCTTTGGTACACTAAACCAACATGAAATAAAACTGGGAAGCCTGAAGTAAATATGGAATCCACAGAGAAGGTTTTCGTGTGCATGGAAAGACAGACATGGGCTGAACTACTGGGTTGTGTGGCTGAAATAGTGGGGGTTAAGAACTACTTTTTTAAGTTTTGGAGAAGAAGTCAGGATGTGGAAGAATATGGTGCTGAAAGCAAGCTGGAACAAAAATGTAAATTCTGAGCCAGCTCAGAAAAGCAGGTGTGTAGAACATAGTACTTACTAACTTTTTAAAGTTTGTATTTCTAATGCTTATTTTGTGTATTTCTCATTTCAGATTGCCAGTTTGGTTCCTGTTGACCAGTTTGAGTTATACAAGAGGTTGAAGTTTGAACGAGGTGTGAAGCTTTTTGTCTCTATTACCTTCTCTTTTGTCAGTGGAGGCAGCACTGTTATATATGGCAGAGACGGAGCCTGTTGAGTGGGTTAAGGAAGAAACAGAGAAGATGTCTTTGCTTTGAAATAGTTCAAGAGCAGTCACTAGGTCTGACTGTGCTCCACAGACAGAAATTCTGTTTGAAATTCTGTTTTGCAGAATCAAAAAAGCAGCATCTTAATGAATTACCAGACTTCTTCTCAAGCTTGTGGGCAGCACTCTCAGACTGTGCCTGGGGCTCCGTTGTTCTTCTGATGGCATGCTCATCTTGGTCCTCGAGCTGGTTGTACTGCTAGACCTTGTCAAGGTGCTAGAGGCTGGTGCTGGCCAGGGCATACAGTCCTTTTACACATCCATAGGGATCTTCAGAGCTTCTAGGTTACACATACTCTGAAATGCAATGTAAATTTTTGCAAGCATCCCTGCAAAATAGCTTTGCTTACATAGAAGCCTGATGTGTGTTCATCTAGTAGAGGTTTTCTTCCCAAGGAATAGTAGGTCCCCTCATTCTTGAGGAAGGCCTAATTTGTAAAGAAGTTTAAAACTGAAGGTCTGATTGAGGCCAAGCTTTCCTGTGCCCAGATGTCACCTTTCTGCATAAGAGAGGTTCCTTGACAAGGCTGAAGAAGAAACTTGCTAGTCAGAAAGATGAGATCCCCTTCCTGGTTTTAAAGACTGTCACCAGCTCGAAAGTTTCAGCTGGAAGGTGCAGTGTTTTTCAAAGAACTCAGTGCATGGTATGTGCAGACTGGTGTGTCCCAGGCACAGTCCCACTCTGCCTGTTCTTAAACTTTCCTTGAATGACTGTATTTATGTTCTTGCTCTGCATGCCTGCTTAGATGCAGTGGATTGTGTAAGACAATGCAGAGGTCTGTAAAAATTAGGCAAAGTAATGCACTTGAAAAATTGGTCAGATAGAAGCATACATAGGTTTTTACAGAATCTCATCTGACATGAATCCTTTGAATGACCACAAAGTAGAAAAACTGCAAAATACTCAAATATGCCCCAGAGTTTATGGGCAAGTGCAGATTGTAGCTATGATTTTCAGGCACTCAGGTCAAAAAAACAAAAGAAAAAAAAATCCCAAACCTTGGCTTATTTTTTATTTCTTTCTCCTGTTTTACCACCTTCTTGTTTATTCTTAATTTCTTACCAAGTCTCTCCAGTTCATAAGCTAATCAGTGGCTTGTCTACAGTCCTAGACAATGGAAATCAGAGCTTGTTAAATCACCATATTAAAGGGTTAAGAAAAAGAGACTTTCTTGCAATACATTAATCTGTTTTATGTGAAACCTTTCTTAACTGAAGACTCTGAAACTATTGGTTTCCTGGTATCTCTTCCTCTATAACTAGCCAAAGCTGAACTCATGATCTTTTGTCCAACTCACTGTTACTTTTTTTTACTGCCTCCCACACAAAGAAGCCTGAAACTTGTCTAGTTTTTAAATCCTCGTTTCCTTTTCTTTCTTGCCTAAGTCTGACAAATCCTCTTCTACCTCTGCTATCTCTCTTCATTGTGATTCCAAGATCTGTCCTTGCTCCTTTATGATAAAACTGGTGTCCAGGCAGCAGACTTAGACATAGCCCTTTTGCCTTGCCTTTTGGCCCCAGCAATAAATCCAGCTTACTGATGTCTGGGAACAACAATTCCTGCTAGCTGAAGCTCTGACCTGGACACCCAGGACTAATCCCAGCCTTAGCCAAGACCTTTTGCCTATCCTGGATTTAGTGCTGTCCCCAAGGCTGACCTTTCTGCACTCGTCAGTGGGACTTGGCTTATTGGCTTCTGCTGGCCTGGAGCTCCAGTCTCAGACCTGAGCCTTAGCTGGCAAGGCCTGCCTGCCCTGGTCTAACACTCTTTTCTGAAACTAGCAATTGACCTCACTGATGGCATCTGCTGGGGATGAATTCTGACCCAGAATCTGTCCAGAGACTCCTTACTGATCTTCAAGTGATTGGTAGAGCCCTTCCAGACATTTTCCATTGTGAGATTAATTTTGAGGAAAATTTGGAACACCCCAAGAAGGACTTATACATCCGACAGCTGTTTCCCCCATCCTCCATCTGTGCTAGCTGTGTTAATAGAATATATTTCTTCTAATTTTCATTACTTTCTTTTTTTAATGGGCCAATAATATTGTGTGAAAACACAGTGAGAAGTTATTGGTATAGAATGGTGTATCTATAGACAATTGTTAAATTTAATAATAGATGCACTGATAATATGCTATTCTCTTGAGGGTTTTGTGTTCTTAGCATGCAAATGTGTTTTATTTAAAAGCAAGATTTTTTTGCATATCTGTAACTTCTCTGCATCCAGTCAGGGCCAAGCCACAGAGCTTCTGTGAAGCATATTTATTAGAATAACAGGAATTACTCTATGTCTGTTTAGGACGGGGTTGATGTAGTCAACAGAAGTAAAGAAACAGAGGAATGGTAAGTGGTTAGGGCACATGCATTATGTTTGTTACTAGGCTGAGTGGTAGATGAAGAGAATCTCCATTTTATGCCTGACTCAAAAGTAGTCTGTTTTAAATGGAGATTTCTGTGAAACACAGTCATAGTCTTATCCTTTCAGTGAACACCTCTTCTGAGCCAGAAATTATTTTCTTCAGTGTGCTGCATTTCCCCTGTCTGCCACCTACATCGCACCTGCTTGGTTGCATGTTTTATGAAAACTGGCCAGATCCCTGCCCAAAACTGGTGCTGTTTGGGAAGACTTTTCTCCTGAGAGTTGAGGGAGCTGTGGCTGAACTGGCTGCAGGGAAGCAGGGGGAAAGCTCAGGAGAGAAATGGCCCTAACCAAGAGATGGAGCAACTTGCCAGAGCAGGATGATAGCCTCTTTCCCTTTTTTGGCTGTGCCTTTTTAGTTTTTTCTGGTTTCGCTTGTACTCCATGGTAAACCAAACAGTATGAGACAGCATGGATTGCAAAACACCATCTGTAGGTTCTTTGTAAAATGGAGGAAGTGGGAGAGGAGGGACTTTCATCTCTTGCTTTACATCTTGCTGCAACAAATTTGTAAAAAACAGGTTTACAACCCCACTCCCCTCCTCCCAATGATGTCAAAACCAGACATTCTGTCTTTCACCCAAACACAGAATAGGGGAATTTAGGTTTCGAAAGGTGAATTTTCAACAAGAAACATGCAGAACCTATTGTGTGAAGGATTAAATGCAATAGCAAGTACTAGGCCGTAGTCTTATTCAATTCAAGGTTTCTTTTAAGAGACACCAAAGGAACCTAGAGAAATAAAAATTTCTCAGTCAGGACATGAGCTTTTAAAAGTATGTAAATACAAAAAGTTATTTTATTTGCTGTGGCTCTCTTCTTCATACTAATGAAGCTGAGAACTAATTTGTTTTTACTTTCATTCAGTAGAAAGCAAAATGTTTGTTTTGGGAGGCAAAGAAATGTGTGCAAGACAGTAAGAGAAAAAAGTGCAACTAGATCCATGAAATGGCTGAAGGTAGATGGTGCAGGTGTTTTGCTGTCACTGCCTAAATTATATGTGACAGGCTTTGCATGGAAATAGAAATTCTGTACATCTGTTGGAGCTCTCTGACACAGACTCGGAAATTACCTGAAGTCAGAGCACTGTGTACCTGTGTGTCCTGCAGCCAGCAGAGAAGATGAACATCCATATGTGCTTTCAGCAAAATTTTCCAGAGAACAGATATATATGAGGTCCTTGTGCAGCTTTTTGTTTCAAGTGGGACAACTAATTTTATCTGCTGGAGGTACCTTGTAATGCCTTTTGCCATCTCACAATCAGGATTTCCATTGACTTCAGAGACATCCCTTCCATGTATTTATTTTCAGTGATGGTACCAGAGGGCTCCCAGGGAAGGAGGAGGGATAAGGTAGCTCCTGCAGGTGTGACAGCCCTTTTCTGGGGAGATTCCGCAGGGTGTGAGTGTTCAGCTTCACCTCATGGAATTCAGCAGCAAAATGACCAACAGTGAATGTGTCCCAGTGAAAGCTGGGCTTTTGTTGCAAATTCCTTGAATAAAGACTGGGAAGTGAGAGAGAGGATCAACATTTATCATTCTCTGCTGTGTGGTGATGACTGTAACAGTGTCTACACCCTGAATCTTGACACCTGTAATAATCTGATACCAAACAAATAGTAATGATATGATACAGTAAATATTAACTGCAGTTTATAGATAAAGGAGAGTAAATAAGGCATGGAAAGTGACTTGACATTAATTTAATTACAGTCCTTCTGCTGTTTACATGGAAGTTACTGCCTGGCTTGCACATGTCAAAGACTTGCAGTTGCCTAGTGCTACAAAAGACATGTGCTTCTCAGCAAGCAGCAGTTAGGTTCATATTTTGAACCTCCCTGTAAAAAGGGAAGGAACGCATTCTGTGTAGTGTATTTCTATTATTGCAATGCTTTCAGTGCAACTGCTTAGCAGAGGACAAATGCAGACCTGCCTAAAGAAGATCAGGCCCAAATGCCCATGGGCTGGGTGTGTAGCGCTTTGGATTCCACACCCTTGTGCAGAATTGGGTGCTGTATACCTAGACACATGTCACTGGAAGAAGAAGGGGACTGTATAAAGAGTTTTATTTCTCTGTTGCTTTTCAGAAGTCCACTTGGACCCCCAGAGGACATGGTGCCCTACAGCCGACTGCCAAACAGTGTGCCACATTGCACCGAGTGAGTCGGGAGCACCGGTGCCAGTGGAGTGCCCCGCCTGCCACCTGACCTTCTGCTCCTCCTGCAAGGAGCCATGGCACGGGCAGCACCAGTGCCAGGAAAAGCAAACGACCCCGGTACCGACCGAGCAGGGGTAAGATGGGCATCCATGATGGCCGTGCCGTCTTTTGGTGTCGGGTTCATGGAGCAACTTCCCTCTAGGTCCACAGCTTCACCTCGGAGACTGTCCGTATCTCCTGGTGTTTCCTAAATACAATTCCAGTCTAAATATTACTTTAAATGCTAAATTTTGGTTTTTTAATACTTAATATTATCTGTGTACTTTTCTAGCTTGGGTTGCAACTGACACTTCTAAAAGGTGAAGCCCTCCAGGACTTTAAATCTGCTTAAAGGCTTTGTTCACATGCTAGAATTATGACCTGTGCCCATACCAAAAATCCAATATACCAATATTGCAGGATCCAAATTTTGCTTATACTGTGGTTAAGAAATCACCCCTGCTTAATATTTACAGAATCTCTGCATAGAAAAACCTTAACTCTACACAGTGTAAATTGCACTTGGAGTGAGAAGCCTTATTTTGCTCATTTTCCTTAACTGCAGACAACCTACAGATCAGGTTGTAAAAATCATTAATCTATAGAAGAGAGGCTTTTGTGTTTAAATTATGTCATGTCTTTGGCTATCCATCTTTGTTTTCAGAATTAGGTTATGTTGAGTCATGTTTTCAAAGTTTTCTATCCTTTTTTTTCAATAAATGAAAGACTTAAGACCTAGAGCATTCTGCTTGCTAGAGAATCAATGGAATAGGAGTTGCCAAAAAACTCTTGCTATGATTTTTCTTTTCTAGGTGTGATCTCTGGCTATGGTGGAATTTAAGCCTATTTTATTCAGACAAGGAGGATTCAGACAAGGATTATGAGTTGCATAATCCAGTCCTGTTAAATGAATTGTGCGAGGTCTCTGTAACAAAGTCCTAACTTTTAATGCTATAGGTAATTAATTGTGGGTGTAGTGAGTGCTGGTTTTATATAGCATAAAGGAACAAAGCAAGGGATTTTCACTTTTATGTGATATTAATAGTCTTACACCTAGTAGTGAGTATACTTCAATGTATTGTACTGAATACAAGAAGCTTTACACACTGTGTGTGTTAGGACAACAACATTAGATGCTCCGAAAAATAAGCACAATACACGTCAGGCAGTGGACCTGAATACCAACAATTATGTTCACATCTCACTCTCATGTTCTCTTACTTTTCTAGATTCCTTATTGGAGCAGAAACTGAGGCACCGATTAAGCAGTGCCCAGTTTGTCGAATTTATATTGAGCGAAATGAGGGCTGTGCTCAGATGATGTGCAAGAACTGCAAGCACACATTTTGCTGGTATTGTCTACAGAACTTGGATGTAAGTGCCACAAAAAAAACACCAGGATAATGAATAATGGGGTTAAGGGTTAGTCTGAGGCCCTGTGCAAGCTCTTTTTAGTTCATTGCTGTCCTAGTGAATTTCTTGGCTCAATTCAGCTTCTGACTCAGTTGCTTTCTCTTCTTTCACCCAGTCCTTTTATTTATATCAGTACAGTTTTTTTATTTCTTCCATAAACAGTTATGGCCACGTCTGTGGGTTCCATGTTAGTTCTTTGAGGGAAATGGGACTAACATAGTGCTTTCTGGAGGTTTGTTCCAGCAATACCTTGCTCCAATTCCCTCTTCCTAAACACAGTTTGGTTGAGAGTGAGGGAAATAGATGTCTTCCACCTGTTTCAACAGCAGAGGACTTAGCCTGTCTAAAAAATGGTATGGTACTGGGTGAAGGGGTTGTTCCATGGTATGGTGGCTAGGGAGGACTAGGTCTCCGTTACTAGTCCATCTCTAGTGCCGTGTTTGCTGAAGAGAATGATTGGCTATTAGGCTTGAGGATAAAAATGTTGGATCATGAGCGCAGATTGTGAAGTGCATGTTGCTAGTTACTTCTCAAAGGTGGCAAACCAGTCTCAACTTGTGTGGACTTCAAGTATCCTAGCAGCATGAGTCCTGGAGGTAATGCACTTGTATGTATGGCAGCTTGCCCTTTTGGCACAGTCATCAGTAACAGCTGTGGGAGCGTGAAAAGGACTTTACCAGCACTTGAAATAAAATGTTATGTGCTGCATGGCTTTTCTTGTCTTTTTTGTACTCCACAGCCAGCAAACAATGAGACTTCCTCAGTCTTCGTCCTTTACTCAGCACGCTAAACAGGTTTCCCTTAGTGTTATGTCCCCGTTCTGTGTGGGTGAACGTGCTTTTTCAACATGAGTCTTAGGGCTTGCCTCAGAGTACAAGCAGTACACAGTGATTGCTTAACACTGTGCTGAACCAGAAGAGTGTCACATTCTTGCAGACTCTGCAGACATGCCCTTATCGAGTTTTTGCCAGTTCAAAGGGAGAAAGAGAGAAAGAAACTGTAGCTGTGTGATTCAAATGTAGTTCTTCTGAATGTGTAGGGGTTACAGGAGCTCCAGGCGTAGATGAAGGTAATACCTGCAAAGCCAGAGAGCAGAGCTGAAAAATGAAAGGGGAAGCAGCATCAGGTTACAGTAAAGTGGTTTAGGGAGGGTAATGCAGGGCATGAGTCACCTTCTGAAGAAAAGAATGGATAGTTTAATAAGTATTAATGATAAAAGAGAAATTAAACAGGATTTTTGTACTTTTTATGTTTTCCTGTTAAGTCTAAGAAGAGAATTACTGTGAAGTAGGTACAGCAGGAGAACAGAAGGTAAAATACTTCAGGAAGATGATTCCTCACATTGCTAGTTTTCAGAAATGCCTGTTGTTTCCATTTCCCTTTATCATCACCAAATTATAGACCAGGTACTTGTGCAATTAGGTTAAACTCATCTGCTTATGCTTTTTAGAAGTGGAGGAGGAAAAATGCTGTATGATAGCTCAGGCTCCAAACATATGCCAATTTCTGAAACTGCAAGAAGTTACTCTAGGTAATTATTTGGAAGACAGGTGAACTTGTCTGCTGGCAGCTGTCAGTTTCAAAGCAGTGCCAGGAAGGTTGTGTTTCCACTCTGGTCTTGAACTTCTCCCTGCAGTTCTGTAACCTGCTCTTACAGCTTCTCCTTTTGTTTTTCAGAATGATATTTTCTTACGGCATTACGACAGAGGCCCTTGCAGAAACAAGCTGGGCCACTCACGGGCTTCAGTGATGTGGAACAGAACACAGGTGTGTTCCTAGCCAGCTGGGCAGAGCTCTCATGCATGCATGAACCAAAGAGATTTTAGCCTTCAGAGAAGAACCAAGATGATTATTTTCATATTTTCAGCTTTTTTTTGGTGACCTGTGCTATGTTTATGCATGCACATGCATATTTCATTTTCCATACTATCTAAATATGTATTTTTCACCACCCTGTCTTTCAGGTTGTGGGGATCCTCGTTGGACTAGGTATCATAGCGTTGGTGACCTCCCCCTTGCTGCTTGTGGCATCTCCATGCATCATCTGTTGCATTTGCAAATCTTGCCGGAGCAAAAAGAAAAAACCCAGCCTGCCGACAACCTAAAACTCTGTGTCTGTTTGAGTCTCCATCTGTACAGCATATGTATGTGACAGAGCACAATGGTTGTGTTTTGGTGCCATACCTACCAGATAATGCTCCCTTTTTTTTGCCAGTTCTTGGGATAAGTGCCTATTCTTTACAGGCTACTCTGTCACTAACAAGTCCAGATTATTGTGCAGTACATACAGTGTAGGTTTTTGCTTCCTGAGTAGGAAAACAGGACACCATTCAGTCCATATGATCTACCATTCAGGACTGATAGAACATTCCCATGTTCCAGCAGCTGCACATGACTTGATCCTGCTGCATTACTCTGTCTTTGCAGATTCAGTCATTACTGTCGTGCTTGCTGTTGGTTCTTGGTGACACTCAGATTTCTCAGAAAGTTTTGGGTCTTTTGTGAAAGAGGGAGAGGGAAAAGCCTGATTGGGTTCTTCTGTCTGATAGCTTGTGTCCAGTTAAATGTAACAAACCATTGAGAAAAATTTGTTGGGTAGTTTCCTGTCAATTGGCTGCCATGGCATTTCTTTCAACATTGAAATCCATTTGATTTTTATCATTGATCTCAACTACAGGAGTAAAAAAACAACAAAACTGTATCTAAGATAGGGATCTCTTTTGAGAGACTGGACTACCTTGAGAAAGTTGCTATTTTTCTCACATCAAACATGACATATCTACCATGAAATATTGGGAATATGCATATTTCCCTATCATTGGGCATGCCTTTAGTCAATACCCTGGGTGTAGCCAACTTCACAGTGAAGGTAATATTGTAAGAAAGACTGTGATGCAATTCCCATTTTGTGCAGAGCGTTGAGATCCTGGTTGAGTGTGTGCAGAGTGGCGGCATGGGCGCAGATATACCAAGTACCTATGGGCAATCAGTGTATTTTTTTTAACAGTTTACATGGGTTGGCAGCAAGAGCCCTGTTAAAAAGTTACTGAAACCAGACTAAGCCAAGCCCTTCTTCAAAACCTTATGGACCTGCTGAAGGGAATACTTGAGAAATGCTGTGTAAATGTGACCTCCGTCCATTGGTGGGTATTTCTTTTGTCCTGCTCAAGGTTAACAAACTCTGTTACTGATATTTTTTAGTTACTCTAAATCTGGAAGGCTGTCAGTTAATAAGTGCTTCATTTTAATTTGGTGCCTCACCGTCAAACCAATTCAAACCCTGATATCAGTTACACCTGTATAAGTTCACTGAAAGCTCACTGAAGAGCTGGAATTACTGCAGCTCTTCAGTCAGGAGTAGCTGAGATCAGACTCTACTCCCTGGAGTTTATTTCCTTAATGGATGGTGCTCCTCATAACCGGGGCCGGTGGCGCTTTTGTTCTGGACTCCCGTCTGTGCATTCTATATCTGTGGGAACAGATTCAAGTTTGCACTGTATAATTGGTTGTAATTCCAAACCCCTTTCCATAAGGGCTGCAAGGTTTGAAGGAGATGCTCAGCCCGAGCGTGGTGTCGGGCTCGCGCTCCGCCCGGCTGCTCCTCTCCGAGCACACGGCGCGGGTCAGCGGGGAGTGCTGCGAGGCTGCTGTGAGTGCTGTCTGCTTGTGGTGTTTGGCCGAGCCTCAGGAACTTTGCCTTCTTGGCAGCTGTAAATGTGACCTTTTTTCTGTTTAACTTCGCTCTCTGGTTACTGTAACAAAAGTGGCAGGATTTCTTCTTTTGAGAAAGTGTAGTCTGTTGAGCAGACTAGCAAGGACAGAGGCCTTAAATGATACTGTCTGTTTTACTTTTTAATTGATTTCTTTTATAAATACTGTCTGACTTTGCTACCAGTTGTGGCTGGAGGGCAGGCAGTGCTCGCCAGTGTGAAAGGCTGTATTTATTCTTCATCCTCAGCTTTGAAGGGAAGCAGAACGGTAGACAGTACATTCTAAATACAAAGTGCAATGCAGGCAACTGCCATTTATAATAAATAAAGAATGTTTTCTGTATGTGTTTTCTTGAAGAGCACTAATGGTAGTGCTTTGGGGTACTTGTGACAGATTAAAGTGTCCAGCCCTTGGCTTTGCACTATTTTTCTACCTACGTTTTTATGGCACTGCTGTCATTTCCATTTTATTTATGAACTTGAAGTTGCAAGTCTTACTTTAACAAAGTCTCAAGGACAAAGATGTAGGAACTGTATAGTCTGTTTAACCATAACCAGCATTGCAATGTACCAATATCCTTTGCATGTAAAAATGTGAGCATTTCTCATGTTTTGTGATCTTACCCATGACTGATGCATCTTTTGCTCGTCTGATTTCTTTCCTTGTCCTCTTCCTCCTTCTGTTGGCCTGTTTTTGCTAAATGCCTATTGGAATGAGGGTGGCAGATTTTTTTTCATTAATACTGTTGTGTTAATGAAACTGTCAGGTTCTCCCTCTGCTAAAGAAATGCGGCTGAAGGCAGCTCTCTTGCACCAGTTTAAGTGCCTGGTGGGCGTACCAAAACTGGTATAAATTAATCATGCAGGAGTTAACACAGCCTGGCATCTAAGAAATCTAGATGTGTATTGGTAGCCCAGGCTTTTGCTGGAAGTCTTTACACAAAAACTGGATAAGGAGAACACGAGCTACAGGCACCCCTTCCTTTGGCTGTGTAGGTGCAACAAATGGACCAAGAAAGAAGCTCTAGACATCTTAAGAGCTTAAAATTAAAGCTTTGCAACAATTATTTTTTTTTAAAGGCCATGTTCAGTACTCCACGTGTCCTGGCTTTTCATTGCATGGGAATACTTGAGCATGTGCATTAAGTAGACCCTGGCCTGGCCGAGTCAAGCATTACCTGCGCTGAAGTGCTGGGAGGAGGAAAGCCCTGTTGCTTTGTTTTCCAGAAGGCAGCTATTTTGCACCAACTGGCTAAGCTCACAGAGTTTTCAGAGAAACATTTTAGCAGGAATCTTTTTACAGTGTTGGCTTTTGCTTTTGTGTTGCTTTGGTTTGTTTGCTAATTTTGTAAGAAACATTAAAGTCACTTTAAAAAGATTTATTGAAAGCATGACAAATAATACTAGTAATAATTAGGGAGAACGAAAAAAGACAGGACTCTGACTACATCTGACTCTTCTTAATCAAGATATCTGTAAATCCACTCTCCTGAACTCCCTCTGAGGGATGCAGTTGGTGCACATCACCAGCTACCAGGCTTCACTGCTCTTCCCATCTCTCTTCTTGCCCCTGTGGTGTGGGGGCAGCAGCCAGGGGAGAGCTTAGGGCTGTGGCAGTGCAGGTACCACACAGGAGCAGTTGCCCACCCTGGACTCATCACCAGTTTGTTCTTGGGCCTTTAACCACTGAGAGACACCTTGGGGATTTGGGGCCTTTAATGTTACATGGAGAGCTTTCACAGATGTCTCTCTTGGAGAACAGAACTGGAAAGTACTCCATTCCTTCTGAACCAGGAGTGTTCAGACCTAGTGAAAATTGGGCTCTAGGTGTTAAAAGGTCAGTTCCTAAACTTAAGAGAGCGCTGCTAGAAATCTGGATCTGTACTGCATCTGGCCACAAATCTCCATGGACACATATCACATCATTTCCCATCAGTCACTGGATATGTGTCAAATACAGCTGAAGATCCCATTTGGCATTCCATGTTCTTGTATTAAAATGAACATGATGCTACCTGCTCCCAAATCCATCTCTTAATAGAAAGAAGATTTTTGTCATGCTGCAGCATAAGTGCATCTCTGTAGTATTTATTCCAGAGCTATACTGGGTGCTCAGTACTGCCCTTCAGTAGGTGATGGTTTATTTTTGGTGCATGGGGTTACTTACCCCAAAGAAGGGCAGAAGGGGCAACAATAATGAATGTTTCTCAATGCTTTAATGATGCTAAATGCTACATCTTGTTGTCTGTCCAGTAGCAGAGCATGAAGTCCAAAGATATGTTTAAAATGTACACAAAGTTTACTTGAATGAACTAAGAGAAACTGGACATTGCCTCCATATTTGCATGAAGAAATAAATACAAGTGGACAGGTACAACTGCATTTCCACAATGGAACAATAAAATCAACTTTTGGCCACTCCATTTTTTGGTACCACAATGGGTGGTTGTGCTGTAGTGCCTGCTGCTTTAAAATTTTGAAATCTGTTTTGCACTGTAATCTCCTTCTCCCAGTCATTCTTTCTCAAACTAATTCCTTTTATGATCTTATTTTTCATCCTGTATTTCAGGCCAAAGAGTCTTAGAGCAAAGCTAGTAGATTTCTTTGTATGAGGATAAAAATCTTCCAGTCATTTTCTCCCAGGTTTTAAAAAGAAATTTGATGCTGAGTTACCTGACCAAAGTTAGAAATTCCAGATTTGGCTTGTTTAGAAAAACTTATTGAGACTTAAGAAGTTCTCTTGTAACATCTAAATAAGGGCTGCTTTGTTAGAGCTCATAGATAAGGGAGCCATACAGCTTTTGATCTTCACAGAAGAGATGCTTCTGTTGTTAAGCAGACTTCTTTGGAAATGTACTGGGGGAAAAAAAACCCCAAACCCCTACATCCTGTATGCATATTTTTATTATATAAATCAAAAATATTTATTTTGTGTAGATTCATAATTTAAGAATTCAAACTCTCTGGAGGCTTTCTAGGGTATACTTACCCAGGAAGATAATCTTACACATATGCTGAGGCAGTTGAACAGAGTGTGCTAGTTATAAAACAGTTGTCAGACATCTTTCACACATGAGTGTGTAGGATGAGATCATAATTTACGTGGCTCAAAATAAAGATGTGAAAATTTACCTTTCCTGGAACAGCAAGAGTTGGTTCTTCTGCAGTCTTCTGGAAGGTTAACTCACTGCTAAGACTCTGGAGAACTTCAGTCTCATTTTAATTTGTCCTCTAGTTAGCAAAGTAATGAAGTGAGAGCTGAATGATGTTGCTGAACAGGAAGCCCAAAGGTCTGTCTTGTGTCATGACACTCAAGTTTCTCATAACCAATGTGGTTTTATAATTTATTATTATAATTTATGCAATGCAAATATAATTTATAATTAATAATTATGAAATACTAAGGATGAAGTATCATTACCTTTATCATATGATATTTATTTTAATTGCATTCATACTGGAAGGCTTTTTTCTTCTGCTTCCCATAGAGAAGGTCATGGTGTACCTGCAAAGTAAATTTGTATGATACGGTGCAGTCCACAGTAAATGTTTCCTACTATTTTGTAGTTATATCAGAGGTTTTTTTGTGATCCCTCAAGTTAGTTCTTTGAATCCAGCAAATCTCTGTTGTTTGGAAAGGAAATTTCCTAGCAATGAATTTTATTGACCATTGCAATCTGAGCTATAAAAGGTGATAATGATTGACAAGATCCACCAGCTCTTTCGAGGACACAACCGCATTCTTCTCCCTTCTTCCAAAGAAACTTTATCTTTTCTTGGATGAAAATTAAGGATGTCAGTAATTTGCTTATGCCTTCTGGATGTCCAGACAGAACTGCAGCTTCTGGTGGCCATGTGCCGGGAGATCCCAGACAGGTTGAATGTGCAATGCTGCAGCATGTGTGCAGTGAGTTTCAAGAAGGTACCTGAGCTTTACGGCTTCCTGGGGCCCGTGCAGGATGTGGTGGATGTGGTGCACGAGGGACTCGGCCAATTGAGCCTTCAAGTGTCACCAGCTCACAGAAGCTTCAGTTCACATGAGCTATTTGAAGCTCAGCTGGTCTGATCATTTACTATTACCTAATGAGCAAGGCTTGGGAATGAAAAGAAGCAGAACTGTTCCGTACGTTGGTATTGGCATCACAGGCACCGAGGGTCACTGTGTGAGAGCTCTTTTGACTGCCCCAGCATTGCTTATTTCTGAAAAAAAGCCTGTGTTTTAAATGTGTGCACTTGGAAGTGTCCAGGTCTGACACTGGGTGTGTTTGTGTGTGTGGCATGAACCAGCAGCGGCCACAGACCCCTGTCCTGCCCCTCGCAGATTTTACATTCTGTTTATCTGGTTTTTTGGGCTTTTTCTTTTCCTCCAGGTAATACACTTTCTTCACCACTTTTCTTCTGGTGAAGGGCAAAAGGGTTTGATCTTTGTAAGATTTGTTAAAATATTTTTGTGTTTATAAAAAGAAAGCTGACATGTATAAAGAAATAAGTGCTTTTGTAAATTTTTTTTTGTGGTATGATTCAGCATTTAAATGTTTTACAGATGCAGTTTTTTGCACTCTCTCTCTGCATATATTCACAAAAATTATATTTATTTTCTGTCTTTAAGGTTTACTTTGGGGTTTTTTTTTCTTCTGATGTTATAAAATGCAATATGTACAACATTAAAAAATCAGTGTAAAGACATTGTCTCATTTTCTTGTAATCTTCAACTGCATTTAAAAAGATAGCATAGAAAATTTATGGAAAGAATTTGAATACATCAGATGTGCTTAATGGAAATTTTGAGGATAAAATAAGGTAAAAAAGCTGGGATTAAGAGTTTTGACTGTTATTTACTTTCTCAAGAATAATTGACATTTAAATCCTTTTAAAGAGTATGGGGCAGACTCTGGATTAGCCCTGGGAGCTGCTGCAATGGTGTGCAGACAGCGGTGGTGTTTGCTCTCCATAGGTGGGATGCAGGATTACTAAAGATCTGTTCCCCTGCAAAGTCTGGTGGAGACTCTGGCTTGGGAGCTACCAGGAGCTGGAGCTACCCCAGGAAGTGGATGTGGGTTGTGTGGCAGGCTGCACAAAGCAAAGTCTGCTGCTTCAGAGCCCCCTTTCTCTTCACTGCTCCCTCAGCCCTGCCTCTCCTTGCAGCAGAATGGGGCCTCCTGCTCTGAGTTTCCAAAGGATCTGATGGGAGGTTACATCCTGCTGTGCACTTTCAGACATCCATGCTCCTTATAAACTCCCACATCCTGCAGTGCTTACAAGAGACAATCACAGCTGTGGTTCCAAGCATCACACAGGAAGGCGATGTTTACCGTTAAATATTTCTAGCTTAGCTACAATTACTCAGCATCTGAAGGTAGGATTTTCCAACTGGCTGACACATCTTTGAAACCCTGTGTGTCATCTCTGGGGCTTTTCACCTGAATACATTATCTGAAAGGTCTGGATAGTTTTGCCTCAGAGAACATGTTTTCAGGATGGAGGTTGAGGAGAATACCACCATTGTCACTTCCAGCTCAAATTTTGGTCATGAATGTACATTTTTTCCCCCCACTAGTTTGCTTAGAGTAAATTCAGCACTGATATTATTCCACTTAAACACAGTAATTTTTTAAAACTTTTTTTTAAAATGTGTGTGTGTGTGTGTGTGTGTGTGTGTGTTCAAAGCTCTGCTCTTGTGCAACAAAGCAGGAGTAACTTACCAGTCCACGCATTAACAAAGGTGATGACTTGCAGCAGACTGAAGGTGTACAGCACGGCACTTTTCCTTCAGAGGATCTTGCTGATTGCTGAGAAACCAGCTTTCTGATGGGAATGTGTCCATTCTGTCAGACTTGTGATGGGCACCAGCTGCTGGCAGCCAGTGTGCCTGGTACCCTGCCAGCCTACCAGCTGCCAGTGGTGGGCAAACTGCCTGGCTTCCCACCTGGTAGACGAGTGAACTGCCAGCTCCTCACCTGCAACTTTGAAGAAAACACCAACAAAGCTTTTCCAAGAAAAAGATACACATTTCTGAATTTCCAATATTTAAAGTTCCAAATCAGACTAGTCTAAGCAACCCAAACATCTTCTGGCCAAGAAAATAAAAACAAACTAAATGGATTCAGATTTTATTTGATCGCAGCTTCAAGGTGCAATTTCCCCTCCCAGCTCCTGCACTTGTCATGAAGATTAGTTTTCTTCAAAAGCTTTTTATTTCAGAGTTATTTGTAACCAAATCCCTCAATTTTGATCTTTCCATGTTTTTTGAGATTAACATAAGATGTCATTTACCTTCTTAACCTCTGTGTGTGCACATCCATCCACTCACACCCACTTCTACACTACCCACAGTTTGATCCATCCTTCCAGTTTGACAAACACAACCCACATCATCCTCTTAAAACACCTTTCCTGGTCTCCCATTTTTGCTCTGGGGTGATCCTGTGGGTGGTGCCGCCCACCCCATCATCATTCTGTCACGTTTTCCTGTGGGGCCCGTGACTCCTCCTGGGAATCCTGCCTCCTCTGTAGGCAGCGCTGGCCTGCCTCTCAGAAGCATTGCCCTTGCAAATACCTTTCCCAATGTCCTTTGATCCTGGTGCCTTCCCGGCAGCTCCTTTCTCTTTCAAGTTCTACAGCTTTTCCGGTCTGAAAACTTCATTTTAGGAAACCAGAAATCATGGAAAATTAGAACAAAAAGGCTTGTCTTTCTACAGAGCTTTCCATGGATATCGCATAATTAAAAACCACCAAAAAATCCAAAACCCCAAAGCAATCCACAACAAAAATATAACCAAACCAACATCCCATACTACCCACAAAATTATACTTCTCAGAGGAAACACTTTCCACTTAGAGCCATGGGTTACTTCTTGCGTGGGATGTCTCATGCTGAGCTTCTCAGCTCAGAGAACACCTTGTTAACACCTCTGCAGTGAGCCATGTCTGCAGCCTCTGCCATGCTGAGTCTCACAGGTGTACAATGGGCAAACTCAAGGCTTCAAATCTGTACTGTGATACTCAGTATGAAAAAAATAAATACTTGTTGTTCCTTTCCCTGATCTGAGCTCTAGCTGAGCTAGAGAGCAGTGCACCTAGCAATAGTGCACTTTAAAATTCAGCAGGATACTGGAATAACTGTGTCAGAGCTCTTAAGCAAGTCTTGTGTCCACACCTGCCTGAAGACATGCTTGTGTTTTAGCCAAAAGGGGAAAATTGCAGGATCTCAGATTTCTCAAAATGGGGTTATAAATGCAGAAGGGTGAAGCCTCTGAGCAAGAGCACCCCATGTCTTTTTCTTTAGTATTATTGAAGTAACATTTCCTTAGTCATGTATTGAAGAAATGAAAAATCCTTCCTGATGCTGACCCTTTCTTAGCATAATCTATTACCAAGCACAGCCGGTAATTTCACAGTCTCACCTTCTTGAGATCCATGCCAGTGTCAAGAGACTTTGAGAAACCTGCAGGACTGGCCAGTTACTAGGTAATTGTGTTTTCCTGGGTCTTGGCTAAAAACTTTGTATTTAAGCCCAGGTGGGTGCAGGTTCCTGTGGTAGTGTGTGTGGTTCCCAGGTGTGAGAGGTATGAGACTGCTGCTGCTTTTGCTGCTTCCAGCAGCTCCTGCTCATCCTAGGCACCCCAGCTGGTGGGGAAGCTGCTCTGGCAGCTGTTGGATTGACCCATGTGAGTGTGTCTGAACATCCTATTGCTTGGTTGGGATGCCCAGAGGAGTTGTGGGTGCTCTATCCCTGGAAGTCTTCAAGATTGGGCTGCTTAAGACTTTGAGTAACCTGGTTCACTCGAAGTTGTCTCTGCCTGTGGCAAGGGGTTGGAACCAGATGACCTCAAGGACCCTTACAACCCTAACTATTTTGTGGGATGGGGGCCTCTGGGTCACACCCTAGGAAGAGGACTCCAGGGAGTGCCCTGTGGAAGTGCCCAGAAGCAGCGCTCTGGATAGCAGAGGAGGTAGTTCAGAACCTTGAGCCTTGCTCAGCTGAATGCCTCTTCAGAAAGCTTTGAGGTTTTTTTAACTGTACCTGCTCCCATTTGGAGGTTTTTCTTCCTGGTCTCCCTGGGATTCCCAGTCAGAGCATACAGTGGGATATGCCATGGGAAAGATCAAGGGATTGATATCTGACTCCTTGGGACATTGAAGTTTGACTAAATTCTGTTGTTCTGCCCTCAGCACTGCCAGGAGAGGGGAATTAATCTGTTTTCTGCTACCCTGTGTTCAGTTTTGCTGATCTACACATTGCCTGGAAGGCATGGTGTTCCCGATGATCTTTCGGCTGGAGAAGACTTGTGGCATGTCTGCTACCAAAGTCAGCTGAAGTGAGCAGTGTCGTAGTGCCAGCAGCACCAAGTGAGGTAGTGTAATTTAAAAAAACACAATCAGAATGGATAGGAGACTTCTAGCTTTGCTCAGGCTATGACTACAAACAACTAAAATGTGACATGCCCTGAGGCCTCCAGCCTGTGTCATCACAAGGTTCAGTAGGGAGCAGTTTGTGGCTCCTCAGGGGCAGTGGTTTCAAAGTGGTAACAGGGATGTTCTGGGCTGCAGCCAGACCTTCTTGGCTGGGTGAGAAAGTGCAGCAGGGCCTGATAAATCTGTGGTGGCTCAGAAACCAGAAGAGTGCTTGTGGTAGTGGTGGGTTGGCTGGGTTTTACACTCATTTCTACCACCTCTGAGCTATGTTGCCTTCACATCACCCCATGTGTGGTCTAGGGCTCTTGGCCACAGGAGAAGTCTGGTAGACAGAGTGGAGGTTTGGGGTGGCTGTAAGAAAACCTTCCTCTTCTCTCTTCCACCAAATGTATAACATTTGGTATGGTGATAGTGTTTAATTAAAGGCTTTAGTCTGTATTGCAGATAGATTTTGGAGGAAAAGACACTTCACTGGTTAGCCAAAGGTGTCCTGGTTAAAGTTCGGCCTGTAAATATGAGCCTCTTACTAATTCTATTTATGAAGGTGAGTGATTTTCCATAATGTCCCATCCCTCATATAGACTGTGATGCTTGTGGGTTTTCTTTCTGCCTGTTCCCGCCAGACAAGTGGCACAGCTGTTCATGCTGTTATGTAATTACTTGAACTGGTGCCCGGTACAGCCACTCCAGAGGATCTCTCTGCCTGAGCACTGTGAGAGGTGGTAAAAGTGTCTCCTTCACAGGGCTGTGCTGCTGCACAGAGCTTGGCTTGGACCTGTTCATCACTTGTAGGGAGCTTGGACGGGCTCCTACCAGAGCAAGATGAAGGGAGAGTTTTGTCATGAATTTTGTCCTTTCACCTCTCTTCGCTGTTTAAGAATTGTCTTCTTTTTACAGTGCCCTAATCCCATCTTAGATGAGCCAGTAAAGCTATCTATGTGCTTAAGGTGAGACCCGTTTATAGAGGAAACACAAGGGGAGTAGGCATGGTTGTGGAAGATTTTTGTCCAATGTCAAATCCCAGCTTGGGACCTGAACAGGGCATATGAAAGGTGTTCCCCAAGAGCCTGGAAGAGGAGGCAGTTTTGGGGACCCAGGGGGATACATGACTGCTGCTGCCCCAGTGTCTCCCCTGCCTTCCAGGGCTCTGCTCACATTTGCTTCCTGGCAGCTAGCTCCTGGTGTGGCAAGACCCTTCCTCTGAGCCCTTCCAAATCCCTCTGCAGATGAATATTGCAGAGGAAAAACCAGACTGCAGAGACAGAAAAACCCTTTCAAAGTAGGGAAAGGTGAATGCCTGTGTTGGAGAACAAATCATGGGAGTAATATGTAAAACTACATTATTTTTGTTAATTTTTGTAA